TGAATATTCACAGTGGATATCTTAATTATATAATATATTTATTATATCGTTTTAAGCCTAGTAAAATTAAAACTCACACTTAATCACCTGTACAAAGCTTCTAAGTGAAGCATTACCCCAAACATCCTTTGAAATTATGCACCTCAAGATAAAGCCAAAATTTTCTTTTGCAGTGAGCTCCATTCTGTGGGCTCTTATTATCTTAACAACTATGTTATGAAGGTGGTATTAATAAAATATAGCAGCTTAATTGCTTCTTGAAAAGTCAGCTGTATTTTGAGATTAATCAAAATGAAACCGCGCAACTCGGACTTTCCAACACGCCCACCTTTCCTTCTGTCGCCCTCAGGAAAAACCTACTTTTATTTCAGAACGAGGCTGCTAAAGCGGAATAAAGTAAATGAGAGAAAGTTATGAACGTGTCTGTCCACGGTGACCCTAAGAGCCCCCTGCGCCGACCGCGGCTGAAGACCGGCAGACCTTCCTATAAGCCGCAAATCAGAAACCATCCATGATATGTTAAAATAAACTGTTCTACAACTAATCGAGCCATATTAATACTGTTTTACAATGTTTGTCGATAAAGCCGATTATTGCCTCAGGGTGACTGTAATTAGTCGCCAACTGTCAGGGCACCGAGCCCTTCTTCCCCTTTCTCCAACCTCCGTTTTATATAAAATTGATTTGGGAGAAGCGCCATTTTCTCTGCAAACCCTGCGCAATGAAACGCACAAGAAAGTCCGTTGGAGGAGTGCCATTAAAAATAAAGGAGGAGAGAGAGAGCGCGAGAGAGGGAGAGAGAGAGAGAGAGGTTAAACACTATCGGGGGAAAGAGAGCAGAGCTGGATAAAGATCCTTAAAACGCAACAAATGACAAGCAGCCGCACGGCAGACAACACGACACTGTAACCACATACAGTAGAAACCAACCGGAGGCGCACTGTACCAGAAAAAAAAGCAAAGAAGAGCAGCATGGAAAACGGCGATCTTTTTTCATACCTGTGTCAAGCAGTAAGGGGAATACATGGTTGTGTCTAGAGATGAAAATTGGAGTTGTTGATAATAAAGTTGGATGGAGGTTCGCTGCGGTGCCGCATTGCAAAGCCGCTGTGGCTCAGTCCAGGCTGTAACCCCGCCTCACTCACAGTGAAAGCTCTGCACTAACTTTAGGGGAAAGTTTTTGCTGCTCTCTCTCCCTCCCTCCCTCGCCTGTCTCTCTAACTATCCCTCTCTCTCTCTCTCTCCCTCCCGGCTTGTCTTTCGGATCAACACAAACCTAACTGCATTTAATATTACCATCGGATTTTTATTGTTTAAAAAAAAAAGAATCAGCCTTTGCTAAAACCCCAGAGAGGAATCGCACAGGATTCCTTCTGTACAGAAACGGGTTGTAGTGCGCATGTGGTACTTAGTGGTAAGTTCAGTCACCTCAACGTATTTGATCAAATTAATATGAAATATATGAAATATTTCTTTGACATTTCCAGCTGGACGCACTGTTCTGCAGGTGTATCTGCTGATATCCTTCTTAAATTTATTACTGGACACAAACATTTACACTTCATTTTTCCACATTTTTACTTATGATATAATACATTGATATGACAAATAACAAATACAGACGTCTATCTATCTATAATAATTTTAGGGAGCCAAATCTCCAGTTTAGACAAATTTAGTTAACATTTTTGCTTCACAACTGATAATTTGTGTTTGTTACTCAGTGGTGATTTAACAGTGACATTGTGGCTTTATGGTATTTTATTACTTACAATACTGCTTATCGTCATGTGGTCTCAATTTAATATTCCAAAGAAACCTTGTCACATTGTTATGTTTAAAGATTCTTTCTAGGGCATGCAGATATAGTACATAGTATATTTTGACTTTTAGTCTTAAAAAGCTTTCACAGTGAGCAAACTGACTGAGGGGGCAGGTTTCCTCAAAACTGTCTCTTTCCACTTTCATATCCTCCGCTGTTACACAAAATGCAGAAGGAAACCCAAGTGTGAACAAAATAGAAACAGAGGCTTAAAATTTACAACTGAGATTTTGCTGAAGTGTTTTGTCATCCCGTCAGCTGGAGAGTGATACAAAGCTTGGTCTAAACTGATTCAAGTGTCTGTAAGTGGAAAAGGCCCCATATTTCTAACTTGAGCATTAGTTATTGTAAATTAAAAAGAGTGAAATGGATAAAGTGTTTGATGCAGTGGAAACATCAGCTCGAATGTGGGCCAAAGTGTTTTGGGTTTAATTCATTTTCACAAGGTGTTACGGTGGGATTTGAGGCCTGCCAGCTTCACAGCCGTACAGTTTGTGCACGAAAAGCTCCTTGTCTGAAAGTTAATAACCAACACCGCGTTATTGCATTCAAATATACTTAATATTTCTGGGGACCTTTCTGAATGCCCTGAAGGAACTAAACAAGTTATTACAGTAGGTTGTAAATTTACCATCCAAATGATTGTACTTTATTCAGCTGTTATACCACTTGCATTCCTGTTTTTACACGTTTTTAAACCAGCCCAAGTCATATTCTAATGTACTGTATATGAATGCAGAAACAAAACATACCTGAACTTGGACGAAGTGGTCTAAACCAGTTTCATTGTGACTTCTATTGTATGGAAGCGATAGCCTACGCTCTGTTTCTAATCAGGCTTGGCTTTATCCTCGCCCGCTCCCTGCTCCTCAGCCTAATCAAACTCATATATGCAGGCAGAGTGCCTGCAATTATACATAAGCCCCTGCTTTGTGCATGTGTGTGAGTGAGAGGGTGGCGCACGCGAGCATTGTGAGAGTATTTGGAAGTGTGTGTGTCTATGTGTGAAAACAATTCTGTGCGTATGTCTGCATGTGTGTGTGCAAGGGTGCGGTTTCAGGGGTTGAAGTCACCCCAGTGCTCGAATGCCAAGTTTTTCTGGGGGATATGAAGCTGTGCAGCTTTACGAGACCTCAGCCTATGTAGGATACTTAGACACTCACACCACAGACATACATGCATACAATGTACAGTATATACACACGTACACAAACACACACACACACACACACACACATACACACACATACATACGTACACGGCCACAAATGTCTTGTGGTCAAAGATATGCTGGCACAAGCAACTATAAAAAAGATTAAATTCAGAAAAAAGTGCAAGAAAGTGAAGCATATTGAGGTGTAGTCTATTCCTTTCCCATAGTCTCTCCTCTTTCCAAACCACACCCCAACACGGCACAGGCCCAAACCCCAAAGCCTTTGTGTGCTCCCTCGCTTTCCCTCTTTCTTTCTGTCTTCCCCCTTTTCTATTTCTCAGTTTTTCTTTTTAGTGAGCTTTTTCCCTTTTTCTGTCTTAAAATATCTTGCTGCCCCCGCCCCCATCCTCTTAATCACACACACTGTCCATTTCATCTGTCTGACTTTACTGGCCATCTTTGTCTCTGGCTGCAGCCTGGGCCGAGACGACTGCCTCAGTATTCAACACAGGCGCTTTGACTGTAACAAACAAACTATAGCAACCACAGGAGTTACAAAACACTGACGCTCAGGTTTTCTTTCCAAACACTTTCTCTCTACCCCGTGATCAAACACGTCCTGTCTGACCATCACCTATGAAAGCCCCTCGAGCACACAGGGCTCTGGTGGTTTCTGAGTTTGTCATTAAAAAGCACATGAGAAAACCATATGGTGTGTCTAAAGTTAGCACGTTCCGATTGGTCTCCGATTGACACACAGCAATGCCCATATACTTGCTGTTTACCATCGCCTGTGGCCAGGCCATTAAATATTGAAAGTGATGTAGCATACTGATACTGCCATTAGCATGCAAAATGTGTGAGACAGGTGGTTGAGGCTGTCTTTCAAAAGGCAGGAAATATGTGAATGGAAAATGTGTGTAACTGTGCCGTTTACTATGCCGTACAGTGTAAATATTGTTTGAGTAAGCTGTTTATGTGTGCTCTGGGAGGGAGCACGCCAGTCAAATGCATACAGGCATATGCAGTTTGAGAGAAATGGCTGACTGGCCGTTATGGCCAAGAAGCATATCATACACAGTGTGATTCCAAGAGACTATGGATCTGTTTGCAATCTGAGTATGTGTGCAGAGCAATGTGTTATGCCTGCTGCTTTTTATGTGTTTACTGTGTGCATTAGCTACATATACATTCAACTCGACTGGCTGGGATTACTCCCTTTGAAGTGTGTTTGTATTCAACAAGAACAAAACGTATAGATTTATTTTTCTTCGCTGATGTCATCATTTCTTAATTTACGCGGTAAATTCAACATGTCAGATTACTGCACACGGGCCAAAGGAGCAGTTTTCCTGTGTAACAGTTGTCTATAAAATCAACCATGTGCTGTTTTTACAAACATATGAAAATGACCACATGCGGAACATGTTACAACAGAAAGTGTCCTGCAAAGAAAATCCTGTATCTTAATGTAGTTTGCATTTTGCAGTTTATTTTGTTTTAACTGGCTTTGTCCTCCACGTGAAGACAATGAGTCTGGACAAAACCCAACTACTGCTTAGCATAAATAATACCTTGTGAAAACTCACGTCACAGAAAAGTGGACATTTTGAAGCATAGTCAACACATGCATTCAGGACATCCATGATGACATGAGGGAGATTTTACAGGAAGTAGTGTACTGTATGAGCATGCTAACGGGCAGAATGTCAACACTCAAAAATGTGCGTGTATTTCCTGGACACATTATCCCCATCAAACTCCAATTCAAGATCTGAAGAATAAAGATAATATAGTGGTTAACATCCCCATAGTGAAGTCTAACCCTTTAGCAGTTATTGTGCAACATGGACAGATGAGTCTTTTGTACTCTGAATGCCCTCCTCCTCTCAACTGCGGTAAATCTTTATTAAGGAAATAAGACATTTTTTTTTTCTTGTTTGTACGTCCAGGAAATAAATCTGTGAGACATCATAATGACAAGGACAGATGTAGAGAGCTTGTAGTGTGTGTGTGTGTATATACCCTATATGTATCGGACACGAGGAAACATTCAGGCATCCCTTGGCCTCTAGAAGGATCGTCGTTCACCAGGTAGGTGTCAGTAGCCTAAAAAAAAACAAAGACATAGTTATTAATTAAACTGTTATCAGTTGAATAGTGCAGTGATTTTGTCGTAATTTTTAACAACTCTCTTAGGAAGCAGATCTCAGTTGTTTCTGGCACTAAGGCACCAGAAATTCCAGCATGTAAAGTTGCTGCTGGGAGTTGTTGCTTTGCATGAAGTTCCAATGAGAAGAATACACTTGGACTCAATTTGGGGGTCTGCAGAATATATTAAACATTTTAATCATTGAATTTCTATGCAATATTATACATGATTTTTTGTTCTTTAACACGTTAGGCACCAGGGGCCTAAGATATAATGCAGTTAAAACAAAGTTTGCAATTTCACAAAATTCTGAGAATTTATTAAAATCCTGAGGGACATTTGTGACCATTTGTGTCCTGAAATCACCAAGCTCAAACATGAGTTTTCTTGCTTCCCCTTTGTGAGACGACAACCCTAAAGCGTACATGTACTATAACATACAGTCTTATAACCCCTACTGGTTTCATGTCTCCACAGAAAGCACAGTGCCTGCTAACAGCTCTTGCACTATACATCCCCAGCCAGACTTTCTGTAAGCACCAGCGTGCATGCATGCATGTGTGTAAGTGTGCATTCAGGGAGCTTCATTTGTATTCTAAGTCAAGCAGGCAGGCAAGCAGGGTTCTGGCAGGGCCCGGAACTGTGAAATGGGCTCTCCTTGCAGTTCTGCCGTTGATTGGATCAACCTATCCCACTCTACTTAGCTGAAGGGAGCCCAAATCCCACAGCCGCTGTGCCGTTCTGTGAAATCCTATTTCATTTCACAACTTTAACGGATAAAAAAGCGTGCACACACACTTGTGCCAGCCAGAGACCCCATGCCACATTTATTTAGCTGAACAGGAGCAGAGAGAAAACAGTGTATCTGGTGTGTGGAAACGTTTAAATGCACACAGATATAGTCTCACCCTCTTGAAAATATAATCACCTGCACCTATATACATTTTTTCCACGCCCCCACGTGCTCTTGGCCTCACACACAAACATGTAGCAACACACACAAGCGCACGCACACACCAATGCACACGTGCATGCCACTTACGCAGACACACAGACACAAACCCCATAATAAGAGCCAGACATTGGCAGACCACACAGCCCTGAGTTGTGGTGAAAACAAAGGCTATTCATATCCTTCGCAATGAGAGGTCTGTATAGCTAACTCTCTTTCTCCCTCTCTCCCCCGTCTCTCCCCTCAGCTTTTTTATTACAGATAATCTGCACTCGCAAACCTTCCATTTTTCTGCAATTGTGCGATTTCTAATCATCTTTATTAGTCCATAAACATGTTTTTTTTAATTTGTAGTCTCTTTTTATAGTCGAGGCCTCCAGCTCCTTAAGGGGGCAACACAGTGCCCATTGTTGAGTCTCAAGAAGAGGATGAAGCCAGGAACAGAGTGAGAGAGGCCTGCTGATAAGACAGCAAAGCATTATGGGAATGAGGTAGCAGAGTTCCTCAGATGCACACATACACATACACATACATGCTGATACACACACACACACACACACACAAGACAAAATGCAAACACTCAAAGTCTGCCAGGCCACATGTGTCTGATAATGAGACGATGCATCTGATTTGCCCGCCGGTCAGAATAATGGCCTGGATCCACGGCACCTGTGAGGGAGTCCGCACCAGCACGAGCCTGCCGACTACCAGTAAGCGGACCACAATGTGTCAGGTGTGCTGGAGTCTCTGTGATTGGCCGTCCCTGGCCAGAAACAGGGTCAGGGGCACTAGTAAGCCTCCTCTGATTGGTTGAGCCAGACCCAAAAAGCTGCGGGTGTTTTCATTGGCTGCCACTGCCTCATTCTGCTGGTGAATGGGTGTCTGGGAGCATGGCACTGAGAAAACTTGTTCAGCTGGGTGTGTGTGTGAGGAAACATTCTAACTATTTGAGAATATCTATGTACATAAGTAGCCCTTCATATACAGAGAGCTTTATATTACTCACTTTTTGAAACAATGTAAAACACGCACAAAAATCAACTGCACTCCAACAATAGAGGATTTGCTCTCATTTCATATTAACCAACCAACAAATAAGAATTTAAATGCCTTCTTTATGTCGTCAGCCAAAGAAACAGGTGTTGATGAACCTCCATCTCATTGTGCAACAGTAAATAACACAAAGCTAATGAATAGGCTAAGCTCTGTACCTGCCACTGGGGAGGCCAGAACATACTGACTCCCTTTGTAGTAAACCCCCCAAAAAACTCCAGGCCCCCAAACACTCTCTCCTGCAGCAGTGTATGAATTATATATTGTACTATATATATAGAACATATGCCCGGCCCATATGGCCAGCCCTGAGCGAAAAAATCTCAAAGCCCTCCTTAATTAACATTTTAGAGGGAAGATTTGGAGGCGGGAGATTGAGTCAGTGACCTATTTGGAGTCCATCGTCGCCCAATGCAAATGTGTTAATTGAGACAGATTTTCCCACTCCACAAATATGTGGAGTAGGGGATGCGATGGCGGATTTTTTTTTTGTCTGAGCCATCTGATCTAAGGTATGGGTATAGGATCTGTTTTAAAGTCCCTTTGCTGCTGCCTCCACTGACAAAAGAAGACACTTCTCTTTCACTTTCTCTCTCACTATCTCACACAGTCTTTCCTTGGCTCGCGCTCTATCTGTCTCTCTCTCTCTTTCTGGGTATATGTGTTGACGACCATATGGCCAAATTCTTTGGAGGTGAGATCTCCAAAACCTGCTAACACACTCGCGTGAACACACACTAACGCATGTACTCACACACACACACACACAAACACACACACACACACACACACACACACACACACACACACACACACACACACACACACACACACACACACCTCCACAGAGCTTTGTGTATGAAAGGCCCTGATGGTGGAATTTGTTCTCAGATGGCTCCATTTTAAAGCACATGAATGGCAACATATCAATGATCCTCCTCTCCATCTTTTTGTCTCTCTCTGCATTTCACATTTGCAGTTACACACTCACACACTAAATCACCACCTACACACAAAAACTTGCACTGCTCGCACACCTGGTGCGGTCCTCTCCTTGTTTCCAGAAAGCATTTATTCTGGCTGCCGCACAATCATCAGCCATAACCACCATCAGCCCTGTCAGTCCATCTTTTAAAAACCATAATTATTATCACCACCATTGTGTCTTAAACGCGTTTTTATCATCATGATTTAGTGGCTGAAAATAACACTGCCAAGTTTAAGGCACAGGATGAAAATGGGGGGATGGGGAGAGAGAGAGAGAGGGAGAGAGTGCGAGAGAGTCCAGCCAACCTGCGTGAGATGGCAACCACTTCAAAGACGGTGGGCCGCATCGGCGATCTGTTCCACGGTGTGTGAGGGGTGTATGAAAGGCAGAAATGGCCGCCGTGTGTGTCCCTGCCAAAGCTACCTCGGGGAGAAATGTTGGAAAAATACAATTTTTTAACACAGCCATCTCAGGGGGGTGAAGGGGAAAATGGGGAGAATAAGAAAGAAGATGAGAAACTGTGGGCTGCATTAAAAAAAGAAGGATAGATGGATGGCTGAGCAGAGTGGGGCTAATTATTTCACTCCACTTGTGGGTCCTGAAGGTTTTGTTGGGTCAGAAGTACAGCCAAGATGCAGTGCTGAAGATTGCATTTGGCTTAATTGTGCAGTCGTGTTTTACACAATAGTAAATGGTGGGATTCGGGAAAAGGCATGAGGCACACAGTGTGAACGGTTTCTGTTAAGGAGGCCTGACTGCAGGAGGCAGGAGCAATTTCAGATGACTTAAGCAAAACACATTTGACTTATGCTGGAAATTCAACCGTGTGTGTGTACGTGTGGTTCAAATCAAAGGTGCGTTTATGCACATCTGCTTAGTGAGGTGAAACTTTTGAATCACTGAGTAATAGATGTGAAACCATGCCAGTCCTAACAATAGCTGTCCCAATTCCATGTAAAAGAAGAAATACACCCGTTCACCAAAACTGTTACAGTGAAACAAGTTTGAACAGAGCACAAATTGTGACACACCCCAAGATTTGCTTGGCCTGGCACATTGCCTGCCAACTACTGATCCTGCTCGACAGGCTTGCCTTAAGATAACACCATGCCAATTGTAACACTGAACTTCCCGGGCTGCAACATTTCGTCGCCACACAGCTTGTGCCATATGCCGCCTCCGTACACTACCCAAACCCACTGGCAACCTCTTTTCCTACATGGATCCTTATTCAAGCTTTTTTTAATGGGCAAACCGCACTCACTGCATGTAACAATGAGGTTTGGGCTGGTACAGTCAGCCCTTTGTGTCACACAAGTACTGATCCATGGGGAGATTTTCTTGTGGTTATGGTTCTAATACGGGAGAGTTTACCACAAAGACCAGGAAGCATAGAGTTACATTACCAAACACACACACATAGACACACTAAATAAAGTATGACTCAATAAGGCAGCGTGTTGGGCTCGTGTAAAATGCCTCACCCACTTCCAACTCAACTCAAATGATACTCTAAAAATGTATTTAATAATATGGCAAGGTCCACGCCCACCTCGGCACCAATAACAGCCTTGGCTTTGATTTGACAGACTCTGTGGTTGGCAGGTTCTCTCTGCAACAACCGCGGTTCAACCAACTGTGAAATTATAGGCCTGCAATCACAACAAAATGAGGATCGTGATATCACTGCCACTTATGAACCATTGTCTCATAGTTCGTTTACCTTAAGAAACATAGACAGATGATTGGACAGCCGCTACCACAAACCACACGTGGCCTGCAATCTGACATTTCGAATCGCTTGAAGCTTGTGTGTGTTGCTCTGCAGGTATGGCTGGGTGTCACATAAACCGGGTTCAACACATACAACTTTGGCAGGTGACCCCCATAATAGTTATGTAACACTGACATTTAAAACACAAATCTGGTGTGATAGAGTGTGTCATCCGTCTGGGGGACAGCAATCACATACCTCCTGTAAAGTTGATGACAACAAATGAGCAGAGGAAGGCTCGCGGATGCTTTGTATAATATTATTTTGTACAGGACTCTTTTGCTTATTGTTGATGAAACTGAGCGTCCCCTCCTGTCTGAATTTGAGATAGTGTTTTTGGGACAATATATAGCAGCTCTGGCAAGCAAAAAGATACGTGAATGATTTGTTGCAGCATTTGGAATCAATATAATGAAAAAATAGCAGTGAAATATGCTCATGCCAGAAGTTTTCACATATTTCCCTGTATTGTTGATGATTTGTTATGTGTGTTATTGTGTTTGTTGTCTCTGTTGTTTAGACAAAGACATCACCATTTCAAAATTATATCCAAATAGTGTTTCAGCCTATATAAACCATTACATTTTACTTATACGTCTATTGTAGGAAGTCCTGACCTCAGAGGACTACTGGAATGCTGTTTTTGTGTAATATGTAGAGTGAAGCAGCTTGGTCAACTGTGTTTAAAGAGTTAGGCTACATTATTGGTGCACTGTTAGGTTGCGAAAATCATGTGCACACTATTTTTCCCCCTTGCAAAGTGTAACATTTCTACTTTACTACAAAAACTTTCCAGCATCACCTCAGAATATTTTAACAGGTATTTCTAAATTCAAAAAGCCCAACAAATCAACCCTGTAAGTTATGCTAAATTGCAAAACACATGACATACAACCAAATTATGGCACCTTAATAATCTTTTCTCTTGGGTTGATAATGAGGATCACTTAGAATGTAGGTCACAATTTTAGGCCATTAAATTTATCATTTTGGGCCATTGTAATTTAAAATATTTAAACTGCAGCACAGAGGTGGATCAATGTCAAATGATGATTACATAGTAATTATCTGATGAAAAAAAATATGTATCTCTCTAAATGCTACAGGATTTAAAAATATAATTGGATGATCTTCATCATCCAAACAGAGCTTCTTCCTTTTGATTTTCTGATCATCCACGCTGATTTCGTTATAAAAGCACCCTCAGCACTTGTTCTGGGGGCACAAAGACGGTCTGTGTGTCACCTCACCTCTCCACCCCCTCTGTAGTCGCTATAAAGTGTCATCAACTACGCAAATGAAGTGCCCATTGATTAAAAATAAAAATTAAACAGCAGCCGCAGGCAGAAAAGACACCGTTCGGTGCAGGATGGAGAACGGTGCAGCAACCCTGCTCCACACGGACATCTGAGATGCTTGCATAATTTCATCATCATCATCATAATCACAATAATGATGAATACCGCCCATATACTCTATATGTTGGCCCTTCAGATCACCTCTATCTGTGGTCACATGTGTGTTTTATTCGGTTTGATCCAAGCGGCGCGGGAAGATCAGCCTCCACTTTGTCAGTCGGTGTCTACAGGGCCACTCAAACGCTTCTGCAAACAACTGAGCCTGCACATCGTTAACCCACCAGTGAGACTAAGTCACTTTCACTTAGGAAACAGATTTTCTATATTTTATCCGAGACATAATTATATTTCAGTGACGTTAGGTTACGTCTTTGAGGAAGCATTAAGGAGATTAGGTGAAAATAGGCTACGAGACATTTTTTATAGTTTAAAAAATACAGATGCATTAAAATACATTGTTCGTGTGCAAGTATTACAGGCATTGTAAATGTTTTTGATTAATCAAAGTCAGTTTAGATGATTTATAATGATCAAAATTGGCTAGGAAGCATACGGTGATTACACATAACACACACTTATTCTCTCTCTCTATCTCACACGCGCGTGCGCGCGCGCACACACACAGGTGTGTTGTATCGTCATTTATGGCCTCACTCTCCACAGCCAACTCTCACTGTGTGTGCGTAGTCCTTATCTTTTACAAAGAAATTAAACTCCCCCCCAAACCCCGCACCAATGCAGTTAAACACATGCAATGTATGGTTTATTTTCAGTCCTATAGACTTTACCCTATAGACCCAACAGAGGGGAACTATTGAGTTACACAGCACGTACCATTATAGCGTGGGGAGATCTGCCAACCCTCTCAATGCCCCATTTTCCTTTAAAAGTTCTGCTTCCAAAAAAGTGAGAGAGGGAGTCAGGGCTGAGGGAGGAAGACTTGGTCTCTTCGCTGTTGCCGGAAGCAAAAAAGGGACCTTTAAACAAGTCGGCCTTAGGCCCAGAAAAAAAAACAACGCTCTTTCAAAAGTGGGTCCACTCTGCAAGAGAGAGGAGGAAAGCAGGACTGCAGCTCCGAGCCCTCCGTCTACCGCTGTTTGGCCTCGGATGCGCCCATGTCCAGCAGCAAGAAGTCAGGGAGACGTCTGCGTCAAAGTCCCGAGGTGCGTCCTTCAGCGGCCAAACTTGTCCAGCAGATTGGGAGACGCTAAAAAAAACTCCCCCGAAATAATATTAATAACACGATAAAAAAAATTATTGGACGGGAGAAGGGATGCAAAGTAAGTTTTGTTAATAATATTTTTCCGTGTGCAACCTTTGCAGTCGGGCAGCTTCTGTCTCCAAAACGTGTCCAAAGGCGGCTGTCTCCTGCGCCGAGCGTCCGATCTGTTTTAGCCTCGTATCGCTCTCTCTCTCTCTCTCTCCTCTCTCTTGTTCCAAACACACACAAACACACACGCGCGCTACACACGCGGCGTTACACACAAAACGGGGGGACACCCCTGGTCCCTCGCCGCCTCCTCCTTCAAAGCTGACAAGATGAAAGATCAGCTTGCGTTATGCTTCTTCAAATCGCTGCAGCCTCTCCGATAGTAGAATGCCTGCACAGCGACACGTAGTCAGTCCGGGCTTCGGCGGGGGTTCTGGATGCCTCGGTGCGTAAAATGGAAGCTCTCAGTGCGCTCCGGCAGCGACGACGGATAGCCTACGCTTCCCTCCCAGTAAATATCAGCCACTAAATAGCTCACCTCACCAGTGTGCGACCTGGTTACACACACACACACACACAAAAATAATAGACTGGGAATTAGGGCAGTTGTTTACAGTGAAGGTGGGGGTCCGGGGCTTCAGCCGGCAGCGTCGAACCGGTGAATTATTAGGTGAATTATTAATAAAGCGAGCGGTGTGCAGTCTGTCGCGGAGAGAGCGGAGCGGCCAGAGTAGCAGCTGGGGCTTTAGGAGAATTAAGAGGACCAGGGGCTAAATCGTGGACCGCGGGGATTAGGGCTGCACTGGCTCCTACCTACCGCCTGTATATTGTACATTCAGAGTGGCACTGTGGGCATGGCTGGGTATACGACCCGAGCTGCTCCCAGTTTGATTTCCGTATATTTTAATGTTGCAATCTGGAGCAAAGATCAAGCACTAAAACGGTCAATGGGTTCATTTAATGGGAATCTAGAGCAGGAGATCTCTCTGTTTCCACGCAGCTGATCTCACAATCACCAACACATAGCCTAAAAAACCGTTGCCACTTATCAGTCACTGTCTCCCCAAAAATTCAGTGAGGTTCAGAGGATTTTAGAAGGCAGGACTTGGTAAAATTATGACACAGCACGAGTATAAATGTATACAAATATCGTTGAAATGATGGTAATTGTAATTACCAATGGCAGAATTTAGCAAGCCTAAACTTTAAAGCTTTTTGAACACATTTATTGTCAGTGTCTCCCAACAGAGTGACGCTGTGAAGCAACAGGATTAAATGTGACTGAGACATTACAGAGTACAGACACGTTGTAAGCCATAAAAGATCTGCCTTTGAGGAAATAACTCCACAACACGAAATGTGCTTTGTTTTTATTGAAAGTGCTTTTAGTTAGGTTGTATATAGAGGCCTGCAGCAGCAGACAACAGAAAAGTAAAACACATGAGGACATGCTCTGATTATTTAGGAAAAGAGCCAAGGTGGAGTTCAAAACGTCAGTGGAGTTTCAAATTAAGAAAGTGAGTTATTTATATAACATGTACTGTACAGGTTATACAAATAACAGGCTGTACATGTCCTGGAACGAGGAGCATCAAGTTGAACCGTTTTGATGTGAATAAATTTGGCCAGCAGGACTTAGGGACACCATGCCCAAAACTGAAAATGGCACACAGAAAATAATCTCTCAACAATAATGCAGCAGATAAAAATGATTTCGCCAAACCCAAGAAAACATAAAACATTTCAACAATGAAAAAATGTTCAACCCCCCCCCCCCAAAAATAGAACAGGTTGAAAACACTCTCTTTGTTTCATACTCAGGTATTTTCCAATGTCAGGATTTGCTGAACAAATACAAACGCTTCTTTCATGTCAGGACAACAAAATAAATATTTTCCTTCTTACTACATATGAATGCAGCAATTGAGCCTGCACGTCTGCGTGTAAAATGTCCTTGTTTTCAGTTGTGCGTGTGTCCTTAATCCGTCTTTTTTTATTCTTTAAATCAGACGTCGACTGACATTCCTCCAACATGACGGTTAATCAATAATTAAATGTTGACCTCCCCACACATTTGGCCGCATCAATTATTCATCTGTAATTGAATTTGTGATTTAATTATTTTTTTCAGACTAATTTGGATTATTCAATTTCACCTGAAAGTGTGTTTCTGAAGGTTTTGGCATTTAAACAAAAATTAAGGTAATGGAGGCCCCCGATGGCCCATTTACTCAACAGAGAGATAAAATGGGTCGTTTTCGTTGCCGTCATAGCTTTACTTTTGTTTAACATGAATGTCAACAAAGGCCCTTAAGTCCAAAGCTTACTGTGTTTATTAGACTACAGCACAAACACAGAATGACGTTGCTTTCTCAACTGGATTCTTTCACCTGCACATTGACTGTTCAAGACCACTTTTTGTACAAAAGTGAGACATTTTATTTTATATTTCGATCTCATTTTCAAAATAAAATATTCTTACTGCACCAGTTCCATTAATTTGACTATATAAATATGTATGAGCTCAAATGTGAGTCTTATTTGTTTTGTTTTGTGACACAGCCCATGACAGCCTGAATCCACTCGGAATTTTGATGATTTGGAAATGATTTGTGACTATTGATATTATTATTATTTGTAACGTGAACACTGGTCATTAGTTGGGGCATGAGACAAAGTAGGCCTACAAGTTGCTGTAGTGACAAGTTAACAGTGCTGGCAAGTTAAGCAGTCAGTTATGAGAATGACGAATAATGAAATAATTGGTGAACCTGTATTAAAATAATTATCAATATGCTTTCACACACAAAAAAAATAAAAACAGCATAATCATCAAAAGCACTGAGGGTCATAATAAAAATTGAACAACACCAGAAGTTATAATAATAATAATGACAATAATGATAATAATAATGATGATGATGATGACGATGATAATAATAATAATAATAATAATAATAATAAGGCGATGCAAATAGAGCCTAATTTATAATCAAGTCTGGTGATTTATTGATCGAATGACATCAGCCTCAAGTGGTTGTATAATTTTCACAGTTTATACCATGATCTAGGCTACTAAATCAATTTTTCCCCCCAGTTTGATTGAATATTAATTCTGGTGTCTTTTTAAAAAATGTTTTAATACAGATGCTGATGACTGGGAAGCTCGCACATGTCCGACGGCCTGTTTGGAGAATGACCAGTTGATTGGAAAAACACCAAGACGTTCCTTTAAACCCCAAATAATCCCACGACACGATTTTTTCTTAACCCTTTATTAATTTACAAATAACAGTGTGTACAGTTAGACCGCACTGTGTACTCAGCACGGCCAGCTAAATCCCGGAAGTTGCAGAAGGCCACACAGATTTTCCGCAAGTTTACACAGCCTCCACAAGGTAACAAAACTGCTTCCGAAAACATTTAACAAAATCGAGCAAACGTGTTTCTACAACTAAAATACGTGGAGCTCTGTATCACCTTTGTACCGTCGACAAGGAGCATTTCTCAGCATGACAATCAGGCAGTGACGTGCATCATATGATATGCATGTGTGTATTTGACATAGAAATGGCCACTAATCAGATGTGCAGTGCTACGCTTTTTCATGGAAAACACATTTTAAGAAATATCCCGCAAAAATAATTGCAGGAAAAAAAGACATTCTGCCTCTTAAGAGTGCATTTACCTGTAAAACACATCTGCGAGGGAAAGCTGGAAATTAAGAAACAAAAACATTGCCTAGAAGGCTATTTTTAAAATGTCGCATAGGGTAAATAAATAATTAGGATTCATTTTCGAATAATATAGCTAAAAAAAAAAAAAAAAAAACCTGAACTACATGTGGATGAACATTTAAATGTTTAATGCACAATAAAAGCGTGACAGTAGTGTTCAATATTAAAGCATGGAATTAATTAATTACATACCATGACACACTTTCCATAAAGTTTGTCAAAACAAGATTAACTCATAAAAGTCTGATCACAAAATAATAGGACACATTGTATGAAATGTGCCCATTAAAAATCTGAACACTAAATCATTAATGCATAAGGAAACCCACATGCATTTGTCTATTAATGTGACTTAAATAATAATTTATACTCCCTTTCCCTGGTGCTGATGCACCATATGCTTACAGACGTTGACCTCCTTTCAATTAGACAACAATTGCCCATGTTTTTCTTAAAATAACATTGATAAAAATGTGGACTGCTGGTCTTAATCTAACTTGATCCTCCTCCCAAAATCATTTTGTTTGTGACATTGAAACCATCACAACCATTAGATTGTTGTATATTGTGGAGACAGGGGGAATAATAACAAATTAACTCAATTGGTTTTGTCATAAACCCTTGCTTTATGTTATTAAAACACAATTTAAAAAGGAGCCTCCCAAAGGAAAGTTAATGTGGTTTGTTCCATTTAAATGTTTCTTGGAAGAAAATATTGAATCTGAAAAATAAATTCAATTCATATGTTCCAAAAGTTACAAAATAAACTGCAGGGAATTTGTTGGCATGCAGTGGCCTTAATCATGTAAGGCAACCTGTAAGACTCAATTAGACTGAGCATTGGGTTAATGAAAGCCCTGAGCGGTGTGTCTCACCACAGCCCCCTAAACCAGCCATTATTGCAGACCACAATGGCTCTGATACCACACTGTTTTAAGACCCAGCATTATGTGGGCAACAAGTTCCCGAAACCTCACTGTGAGAAGAGAAGGGCACATTGTGGGATCAGACAGTCAAAGTTCAGACAACATTGAAGGACTGCTTCTAAGTCCAAAATGCTTCTCAGTAAACCCCAAAACGAATCAGGGCAAAATGTTCCCTCAAAATTTCAAGTTTTAGATCCTGGACTGGAATATAACTGCAAATCATGATGGACTTGTTGAAAGTAATTATCAGAAAAGAAGCCATGTGATGCAGTGCTGGTTAATGAGCGGCACAGAGGTAAATTGCAGCAGATAAATATTATATCTTATCAAAGATGGACTTGGCGCCAACACCTGTTTACAAGTGTAGAGGGATAGTGGAACAAAGGTACAAACCAGCACAGCCATATAAACGTTAATCAACAGGTACACCTTTTATCAAAGAAATTAAATAATAAAGTGTATAATTAGGATAACAATATAAGGAAACATCTCAGATTATTTTTAAATGGTTGCGAAGAGGATATGGCTTCTGAGAAATTCAGAAATCAATCAGACAGATGTTTTACACACTCCTCTATGGAGCAGGAGCACAACAGGAAAGTTAAATGTTATTCCCTTCCCGGTCCCCAAAAGCAAAATATAAACGCTTATGATTACAAAAGATAATGGTGACAATAAAACTGAAGCAATATAACTCAAGGTGAACCAAGGTCAAAATAATACATGTAAAAATATCTCTCCTCAGAAGTGCAACAGAAAGACATTCACTGAATCATACTCCCTAAAATAAAGAAAAAACAGGAGAAAACAACACATTAAAAAAATGGCAGCTCACAGCTTCATTGCAACGT